CCTCGAACTCACAGAGATCCACCTGGCTCTGCCTCCCGAGTGCTGGGATTAAAGGCGTGCGCCACCACTGCCCGGCTAGTTTAGTTTATTTTTTACATTTATTTATTTATTTATTTATTGAGAAACAGAGGCAGACAGACAGACAGACACACACAGAAAGAGAGAGAGAGAGAGAGAGAGAGAGAGAGAGAGAGAGAGAGAGAAGTAGCATGTGTACTTGTGGGAGTCGGTTCTCTCCTTCCACATGTGGGTCCTGGGGATTGAACTCAGGTTGTCAGGGTTGGTGGCAAGCCCCTTTACCTGCTGAGCCATCTCACCTGCCCAGATGATGCTTTGTGATCCCTTCTGTGGACAAGAAATTGGCTACAGAAGCATCTTGCAAGTCTGCACACAGCATTGACAAGTGTTTTGCCCAGTTCACTCTTTGTGTGTTTGGTTAGCACACTCTGAGAATCCTTTGGCACATCAGTGGAGGCTTAATCCTTACAGGGCTGGTGTTCACATCTTTTTTATGGTCTGCCTTCTCTTTTTCCATTCCTGTATCTCTTGGGAGTGATTTTACCTCCATCCCCATTGAGGGCTCCCAGGGATCTGCTCTAGATAGCAAACACATATACTCTTTTTTCTTCTTGACATGTGACTTTCCTTCCCAGCCCCCCCCATGACATAGTGTCCTTATGGTGAGAAACACGCAAATAACATTGAAAAACAGGCTCCCACCAAATGGGGATTCAAAAACAATAACTTCCCCCATAATGCAATCTCAGTCCTCTACCCATCCATCATGCTGCTATGACTAACATGAAAGAAAACCCAGGCGCTGCAGAGTTACAGGCAGAGGTCCCCAGCTGGTCCCATGTTACCTCAGAATCTCCCTCCACCCCACCCACATCAGTAATGAAAACGCTCTTCAGAAGCTGGGGGTGGGGTGTGGTGGATAAAGGCAGACTCTGGCATTCCCCAACCCACCATGCTGAAATCTCACTGCACTCAGGTCTGCAAATCTCAAGGCTGTGAGTTGCCCGGCCAGCTCTGTGCGGCCACTCTGTCAAACACGCTGTGATGTGGGCAGAACTGCTGTGCCACTGACAGGTGTATCAGTTCCTAAAGCCAAACCAGCCGTCCTACTGGGTTAAGCCCTGACATGTTACAGAATGCAGGCAAACTCTGCTGGCAGCTCCCACATTTTCTTGGGCATACAAGTTCCCTGGGGAGCTTGTTAGAGATCGGAGCACTGCTGTAAGCCTGCCCTGGTCAGGCAATCAGGGCAGCTGGACAGGCAGGGTTTAATAGGGTCCCTGGGGGATGAGGTACAGACTTTCTAGGTTTGCATTTTGAAAACTGCTTTGCTCATATTTTGGGCTAATCCTACCTCTGGCCTGCTACTTATCTCTTCCCATGAGAAGGATGTAAATATGGGTTTGAAAGCTTCTGGGAAGGAGGATGCAGGGATGAGCTTTAAAGCAACATTCTCTGTGGAGACAGACTGAGACAACTCTAATACCTCTGGAGGGCAGAGTCCAAGCCAGTGGTCCTCAACCTTCCTAATGCTGCGACCCTTGAATACAGTTCATTATGTTGTGGTGACCCCAATCATAAAATTATTTTCATTGCTACTTCATAAGTGAAATTTGACTACTGTTATGAATCTTAATATAAATATCTGATATACAGGATATCTGATACGGGACCCCAGTGAAAGGGTCGTTCAACGACCCACATAGGGGTCGCATCTCCCAGGATGAGAACCACTGGTCTAAGTTCTCTTGGTTTCTAGGCCTGCCTTGTCACCTGCAACTCCAACCTCAGTTTTCCTATCTGTTATAGAAGGCTGTGCGTTAAACTGAATTCTCACCTAATGTTGGAACATCTTCTACCCGTGTGGCTTCAGTGAATGAAGGAACGTTCCTGGGCCTGTTTTACACCTATAGAGTGGAGCTGTAAAGGCAATATTTAGCTCCTAGAGCTAATGAAGGAATTAATATAAATCAGAGTTTGGGGAGATAGAGAGATGGTTTTGCGGTTAAGAGCCCTGGCTGCTCTTCCAGAGGACAGGGAACGGGGTGTTGGGTGTTGGATTTTGGGGGTGGGGTTCAATTTGCGATTCACAGCCATCTATAACTCCAGTTCCATGAGATCGGACGCCCTCTTCTGGCCTTTACCTGCACCAAGTACTCACGTAGTGTCCAATCAGAGAGGCAGACAAAAACGCCCACGCACATAAATAAATAGAAATCGGGGTTTGTTACATAAAATGGTTCCATATTATGGATGTAATTCTCGTACTACTAAAATGATCTGAGGCCCTTTCGGCTCTTCTGGAATTGAGTCCGTGCTTCTGCAGGTAGGACCCTGGAGCAGCACTACTGCTCGTCCCTCAACTAGCTGTGTGACACAGGCAAGTCCTCATTAGACTCATCAGCAGAAAGAAGATAAGACAGAAATCCACACGTATTCTGGGGATTTAGTGAGTCAACCCACAGACACCCTGCCCAGGCTCCTAGCGCTCGGCTGCTGCTTCCAAAGATCAGCTATTGTGAAGAAATCATGGGACATTTAATTCTTTAGGGAGGTCAAGCCCCATAGCACTTGGGTTCCGGGTGGGGGTGGAGCGTCTCGGGTACATCTCAGACCTCCCCTATCCCCGCCCCCAAGCCTGCGGATTCGCTTTCGGTTGGGCAAGCTGAGACTCCGGGGCCGCTGGCTCTGGACTAGCAGCAGATGTCGCTGCCCTCCCGTGGTCCCCAGCTGTGCTTTGCAGCTGGCTCTCACTTGCAGCTACTAAAGAGAAAATGCCCGGGAGCGGGGAACACAGCGATCCTGTGTAGAGCCCACCGAAATCTCGTTATCTCTCCCACCTGAAGTCCAAAGGCGGCTTAGCTTACTCTCCTGAGATCCCTGTCGCTCAGGCGGGTCTCCGCCCCTAAGCCCCGCCCCCGAGGCTGCTCCGCCTCTCCCAGCAGGGCGAGGCCCGGATTGGACAGCTTCAGGGGTGGGCGTGATCGACGGCAGCGCTGGTTCCGTGGGAGCATCACGGTGGTTTCTGAGGCCAGGGGATACTGGGGGACCTGCGGAGGGTCCCGGCCGGTGGCTCCAGTCGCCCGAGCAAAGTTTCGAACCTGAGGCCGAGGCCGGAGCCGGCAAGCGGAGAGGAGCGCGGAGAGGGCGGGATTTCCGCCGGGAGGGATCCGGCCGCTCAGGGGGTGGGGCTTCCCCGACCGGGCTGCGTTTCCCGCGTGCGGGGCGGGGTGCCGTGGGTCCCTGCTGACAACCTCCGCGCCCTCCCCCAGGCGGCCAAGGATGACCACGCTCACGCGCCAAGACCTCAACTTTGGCCAAGGTAGGGATCCGGGCCTGCAGGGCGGTAGGGTGGGGGTGGTCCTGGCCGGAGTCGTGCTCATCAACTGTGCCTTCTCCACAGTGGTGGCCGACGTGCTCTCCGAGTTCCTGGAGGTGGCCGTGCACCTGATCCTCTATGTGCGCGAGGTCTACCCAGTGGGCATCTTCCAGAAGCGCAAGAAGTACAACGTGCCGGTTCAGGTGAGCCCCGGTGGCCGGCTGGATTTAAAAACCTTTTTTTCTGCCTACAAGCTCCCTCACTCCCCAACGGAGGCAGATAGCCGACAGCCTCCTGTCTCTCACTGCCTGGCTTTTCCGTCCTGACTGCAGGTGGAATAGGGACCCTGGATAAGAGCTATTCCAAGCTTTCATTTTAAAGGGGTTTCCAGGCTGGGAACCTTGGCTTGGGTAGAGCATTCCCACAGTGCTTAGCAGTTTCTTTCTCTCCCCTTTCTCCCTAAACTCTGAATTTTAGATTTAAAAAAAATCAGTATTACTTATTTGAGATAGAGTGCTACCGTGTAGGCATGGCTGGTTTGGATTTCCCACTATGTAGATCAGATTGGCCTCAGGTGATTTTCCGTGATTTTCACGGAAATCCTCCTGCCTCTGCCTCCCTAGTCCTGTGAATGAAGGCGTGAGCCACCATACCTAGCTGTTTGTTTGTTTATTGTTTTTCTCTGTGTAGCTTTGGAGCCTGTCCTAGAACTCACTCTGTAGACCAGACTGGCCTCGAACTCACTGCCTCTGCCTCCCAAGTGCTGGGATTAAAGGCGTGCACCACCACTGCCTGGCAAGCTTTTTACTTTTTAAGATTTATATTAATTATTTGTGTATGTGCATGTGCCTGTGTGTTTGTATGTAGGGTGCCCTCTGAGGCTAGAAGGGGCATGGGAACCCTTGGCATTGTAAGATGCCTAAGGTGGGCACTGGGGACCTGACTCTGGTGGCTGAGTGACAAGTGCTCTTAACTGCTGAGGTATTTCTCCACCCACCCCACCCCACCCTGCCTCCCTTTTAAATCCAGACCTCACGTAGTCTAGCCTGGGCTTGGAGTTGTTAGGAAACTGGGGCTGGCCTTGAACTCCTGATTCTCCTGCATCCTAGGATTACCAGAGGTCTTTACCAAGCTTCCTGGTTTTTTATTTTGTTTTCTGAGACAAGGTTTCTCAGTATGGCCCTGGCCGTCCTTGAACTCAGAGATCCGTCTGCCTCCTAAATGCTGGGATTAAAGATATGGGCCACCCTGCTTGGCTGCTGGGTTTCAAAGGTGAGACAGTAGACATGCTGTCTTCCTCCCAAGTCCCTCCAAGTCCCTCCCTTTGTAGTCAGTCAGTCAACCTGAGAATTACGACCTCCAAATCCTGGGAGGCGGTAGATGGAAACAAACAGCTATGAAGCGCCTCTGTGCACCAGCAGTCTCATTTAATGGTCACCTTTATTAGATCTTCCCAGATGACATCATTAAGCTCAGAGATATTAAGTCATTTGCCTGTGGCCACACAGCTCTTCCCCTTCAACTCTCCCAGATAGCCTCTCTGTATAGCCCTTGCTTAGGCTGTCCTTAACTCAAGAGATCTGCCTGCCTCTGCCTGGTATTAAAGGTGTGTGTCACCATGCCTGGCCCTACACAGCTTTTTTTCTTTTTGTTTAGTCTTTCGAGACAGGGTTTCTCTCTGTAGCCCTGAGTGTCCTGGAACTCACTCTGTAGACCAGGCTGGCCTTGAACTCAGGAGATCTACCTGTCTCTGCTTCCTAAGCGCTGGATTAAAGGCATGCAGCTCCGCAGCCTGGCCCCACACAGCTTCTTAACGTTAATGCCAAATGCCAGTGCTGAGATGGGGTACCTGTCTTTGAGTATCTGTCCCGGGATAAATTCATCCACAGTTCTTAGCATCATGGTGATGTGTTGGGTCTCTCAGGCAGGGAGACCTGGGGAATGGCTGTTGTTTGTCCAGAAACCGGCATGTGTATGTGTGTGGGTTGTTGGTGTCACCCATTCCTGCCTTGGGCTTCAGCAGCCCTGTGGGGTTGTGTGCAGATGTCCTGTCACCCGGAGCTGAACCAGTACATCCAGGACACGCTTCACTGCGTCAAACCACTCCTGGAGAAGGTGAGGGGGCCCCGGTCCTAACGGACGCTCCACACCCCATCTGTTCCTCCTTGCTTCTGGGCTGACTCTGTGGGGAGTGCCCATATCTTTTAACAACCAGAAGCTTCACTCTGAAGACCACCCCCAGCTAGCAGGTCCTGGGGCGTGTAGGTCACATCTGGGGTCGATTATTTGGGCCAGATCTGGGTGGGGCCTGCCCTGGAAGATCTGGTTCTTTTCATGTCCCCATGGTCTGTCCCATCCCTGCATCCCTGCTTCCCATTCTCTCTGGGCTGGGCCCCCCCTGGGTTTTTTCTACTTTATCTTGTCCTGGTCTGAGGCTTGTTGGGGGACCTCCAAGCATCTCCACTGGCCTGTATGTATCATCATATTTTGGGAGCCAGCCTGCACCTCTGCTTGCCAGGCTCCAGGTAGCCTTAGCCAGCACCCTGTCCCACCGCTGCCTGGGCCCTGTGCATCTCGGGAGCAGGGGTTCCTGTGCTTACAGAACGATGTGGAGAAGGTAGTGGTGGTGATTTTGGATAAGGAACACCGTCCAGTGGAGAAGTTTGTCTTTGAGATCACTCAGCCGCCCTTGCTGTCCATCAGGTGAGTTGTCACCGTCCCTCAGCTGGCTGCTGCAATCTCTCACAGGGACCCCTCTCCCAGCTCCACATTACCTTAGTAAAGACCCTGAAATGGCAATACATACTGTTAGGATCTGAGACACACTGGCCACAAACCTTTGGGAATGGTACAGAGGTGACAGAGTCACCCTGTGTCACCCCTGAAACATCCCAGGAAGAGGTTAATGTTAGTCCTTAGCCTTATTGTGTAGATGGAGAAACCAGGGTCCTGAGAGGTGACCTGTGTGGTGTCACCCAGTGATTGTAAAGCCCAGGACTCTGACCAAGTTGACTGGTTACCATGGTGTCCATGGTACCTACTCAGCTACTTGCTCTCTTTGCTGAGGAATGGGGAGCTAACCTGTCCCCTGGCTAGGAGGCCTCAAACAAGCCCTTTCTCTTCCTGTCTTGGGGTCCTGAAGTATGCAGGGGCTTGAGATGTGTCCTGGGTGTCCTCTATCTAGCTGGATATTAGAACTGCCCAAAGGGACCCCTGCACTCCTCTCCATTCTGTCAGGTGGGTGGGACTGGGCTGGCTCTCTCTGGCACCGAAGGTGTTTGGCGAGCACACGGTGTGCTGGGGGTGGCGGAGGAGCATGACAGAATGGGAGACGTCCTTTCCCATTCCCAGCTCAGACTCCCTACTGTCTCACGTGGAGCAGCTGCTGCGAGCCTTCATCCTGAAGATCAGTGTGTGTGACGCTGTCCTGGACCACAACCCTCCAGGTGTGATGCCCCGCTCCCCCAGTGTTCCCTTGGTTACCGCGGCATGCCGGTCTTCTTCCTAGTTAGCTGCCCTGAGCTCCCCTCTTCTCCCCGCCCTCAACACCCGAGAGTTCATCTCTCCAGGACTGATTCTACTACATTTCAGGCTCCCATTGACACTGTCTTTGCCATAGGCTACACTTTGCATCTTGTGGGTGGCGCTGCCCAGCCAGTGAGGGAGGTGGGAGGAAGCCTGGTCCAGTGGGATCCTGAGGCTACTTTACCTTTGACCTTGACCAAGCATCCCTTCTGCAGGCTGCACATTCACAGTCCTTGTGCACACAAGAGAAGCTGCCACTCGAAACATGGAGAAGATACAGGTCATCAAGGTGTGTGTGTGTGTGTGTGTGTGTGTGTGTATGTATACAATTTCAGGGTGCTGCCTGTGGCTGGCACTGTTGTTTACGGCAGTGCCTGGCATCAAGTGGGCTCCCCTGTGGGTTATCCACCTGACCACATCCCGTGTGCACCCCAGTGTGTACTGAGAAGAATCACAGTAGTCCCAGGTGGTGAGCAGCTGGCTCACCCTGGCTCTTCTGAACAGAGTTCTCCAGAGAGGGGCTGTACCCTTTGGTTTCAGAATCATTTTAGAACCACGCTGGGAATGTAAATTGCTTGGGTTCCCAGTACCCCGCCCCCTCCCGCGTAGTAACTGGAGGGGAGGGTTAGCAGCGTGAGGACTGACTGAGGTGTAACCCCTTCTAACCCTCACCTGATCCCATCCTAGGACTTCCCGTGGATCCTGGCAGATGAACAGGATGTCCACATGCATGACCCCCGGCTGATACCCCTAAAAACCATGACGTCGGACATTTTAAAGGTGAGCTTCCAGGGGTCAGGGGATGGAGGAAGCCTCATTTAGGAGACTCAGGGCCCAGAGCTAATTCCAGGCTAGAGAGTGTGCTGTCCAAGGTTTGGGGGTGGGGGGGTCCTCTACCTTCCATCCCTTCCTGAGTCTTCCATGAGCGGGCAGTCGGGCACCTCATGGACTGACCAAAGCCCCTTCTCTACTAGATGCAGCTCTACGTGGAAGAGCGAGCTCATAAAAACAGCTGAGGGCGTGCCCGCCACCTGGTGCCCAGCTGTCCCACTCTGGGGCCCCAGCCCAGGGCGGTGCTGCAGGGCCCCCGACTCCAAGTGCTCTTATCGCCTTGACATGTGGCCGCCCCTCTGGTTGGGCTGCTCAGTCCTGCTTGCCTCGGTGAGGCAGCCTTCCCAGGAGGCCAGGGAAGAATGCCTGGACAGACACCCTTTCTCAGCAGCCTCCTGGGGCTCAGCCGGCCACCGCTGTCCATCTGAATACTGTGCTGTGAGTTATCGTTAATAAAGGGGCCCCAAAGGGCTGACTGCATTGTCATTAACCAAAACGGGAGAAGGCAGGTACAGGGAAGCTGCTCTGGGGAGGGACTGTTTCTCCACAAGAGTGTTAACAACCCCACCTGTAAACCCCAAACCAGGCTGGACTTACTGAAAACATTTATTACAACAAAATGTCAAAGCTCTGTGACTGTAAATCACCGCTGAGTTGATGGGTTTGCTGGAGGTCGTAGGGCAGGTGCTCATGGGACGGGGGACCTGACTCCCCACTAAACTCTTGCCAGACTTTGCTTTGCAAAGCAGACCCCAGCGGAGGGGGACAGATGGCTCTCAGAGAAAGTCGACCATTAGGGTTTCTGGAGCCAAAGTTGGGGGGTATCTTCCTCCTATTACTACAGTGTTTTCCGGCAGAGCTCTGGCAGGGGCGGGGTTCTTGGCCGTCCTGTGGCTGATAATGATGCTGCTGTTGGTGACGCGGGGGCCGTACCAGCCTTTCCAGAACTGGGTGTCCTGGCCCCCGTGTTGAAAAAGGATGTGTCGGACGCCTGGAGGGTAGTCAGAGAAGGTGTGAGAGACCTGGGGAGAGAGGGGAAGGAACTGTTGAGACACGGAGGAGGAGCAGCCGAGCACTGCAGAACACTTAACTGCCCCTTGTTCCTTAACAGCCTGGTCCTGGGAGAGGGAGTGGCAGGGCAAGCAGGCAGGGTCTCACCTCCCTCCACGTGGCATCATTCCACTGTTCGATGGTCACAGGTTGGGGCTCAAAGGAGGCCAAGACGATGTGGTCAGCTGAGGTCAGATGTACCCGGAGGTGATAGGTGCAGCCACAGTCCGCTCTGGGGGCGAACCTAGGGAGGATGGGATAGAGGGTGAGCACCCCTGCCTCTGAAGGCTGGCTCTAAGGACGGCTCCTATCTGTAAGCACCCCTCTGTCTGAGACTGCCAGCTGGCTCTATATTCCTTATGTCCCTGTGTCCCAGAGAAGCATCTGTCTACATATTGCCTCAGTTTTCCCACCCAAGAAAAGGGGTGAGTTTGAAAACCAAAATGGCTTTCTGTGAAGATGCTGTCTGTCCACGTCTGTCACCATATGGCACAGTAGATAGTAGATAGCCACCGGTGCAATGGGCTGGCTCAGCGCTTGCTCCGTTATCCTCAGAGACTTGGCCCCCAGAGTCTTTTGCCAATAATTGTAGGCACAGAGGGGATCTTGGGAAAGGGCCATAAGGAGGGGTTGAGGTTGGAGCTTAGCGGTAGAGTGTATGCTTAGCCTGAGACAGGTCCTGGGCTCCATCCCTAGCACCAAAGAAATAAATATAAGAGGTGTGGGATAACCAGAGCGAGGGGGCGGGAGGCACTGCCTAAGAAAGCTATATAAGTCTCCACAAAATTCAGGGAGGGCTGGAGTCCTCTGGTCCCAGGGCGGCTAGCTCATCTGAGGCCTCAGTGGCCATCTCTCAACACAGCTGAAGTTTTGTGTTAACTGTCGCAGTGGCTGGGCAGGAGGGAAGACACGGGGTGGGGACATAGGCCACTCACCAGTCCTTGACCACAATGTCGGGCCGGAAGGTGTCCATCAGCTCCTCCCAGTAGCCCTCAGCTTTGAGGTCCACCATCTGGGACTTGAGGCACATGCTGGGGACAGAGGAGAAGACTTGCATTGCCAGTGTGCTATCTTCCTTGCCAGGTAGATAGCTCAAGGAACCCAGGAGACACCCCCACCCCCAGGACAGGCCCTGGGCAGAGCTCCTCAGATCCGAGGGAAATGGGGCGTTAGATCTGCTTTTCCCTGGGTAATATTTGATCCCATGGGATATTGTGGAGTGTGGCTGACTCTGTCCTGACTCTGTTCAATGAGCTCCTGGCCACCTGATAACCATCTCCCCGACTGCCAGCAACCCGCCACCAAGTTCACTGCTCTTGGACCCCTGTTTGGAACCCCCTCCTTGAACTTCTAGAGGCCCTCACTTATCCTGGCACTTGGCAGAGTCCTCCTGACTCTTCCCTTAGTACAGCCTCCTCCAGCCTCCTCCACATCATTGCTTACCCGTAAGAGGTGACAAAATACTTCTTGACCTTGGGGTCAGGAAAGTCTCTGCCGTGTTCCCCAGGGAGGCTCTCCACCTTCCACTCATCGCCCTCGTTGTAGTCTATCTGCCATGACCTCATGTCCTCTGGGGAAGATGGAAGGACAGGTGAGAGTCCCCTCGAACTCTGCCAGCAGCTGCAGTTGCAGCCCTGAGGTAAACACTTGAAACTTCGAGGCCCTGTCTGGTCCTGGGAGACTTCAAGGGGGTTGTGGACATCAAAAGGGATTAATGAGCTTGCATCTCCTAGAGTGTACTCGGCAGCCAAGGTTAGTGCCCCACCAGTCCAGGAGCATGATCTGTGCCTTGGTGTCCCCCACCTCTGGCTTCCGGCTTACTCCTTCCTGCTTTGCCCCAAACAATAGGATGAAAAGTTCTGAAGCCGACCTCACTTTTCCATATTGCCACAGGGCCCCCACGACCTTGTTTCAGTCCTTAGAGAATACGATCACAAAAGGCCTGTGACGGAGTGGACCTCAGGACTGATGGGAGTTCCTCCCAATGTGGCTGCTTACCTGGCCACTGGCTTTCCTAGATTTAGGAGGAGGCGGCCCTGGTTAACTATGTGACCCAGATCCTAGGGGCCAAAGGAACCCACTGTTCCGACACCATTAGATAATACCCTTCTCCTGGGCAAGTGCCAAGATGCTACATTGGTGTCCCCCGGGGGTTGGTAGCCGCAGGAGTCCTGTAGTAGTGAGGGACCTTCAGGAATGGGGTCAGATCCAGGGATTTCCCCCCTTCAGGCTAAGCATAGCAGACCTCGGAAAGTGCGAGTATTACTTTATGACGGCCCAGAACCATCGCCAGGTGAGAGGCTCTACCATTGCACTCGCCATCCCCCAAGAGCTCACAGTGTTTCCGTGTATTCTAGGGGGGCTCCCCAGTATAGAACCAAAGGAGGAAGAGAATTCGAGGAGCTGGGCTGGCATGAGATAAAGCCCTGGGAGATCTGAGCAAGGCTAGACATGGGGGCCTTATAAAAGGCAAAGCAGCAGAGTGGCTCAGTGAGGTGACCTGAGCTGAGCTGGCAGCCTGGCTGGGCAGCTTCTGAGTGGAATCTGGGGCAAGTAGGGAGATCAAGTGTCTGAGGCACGGCCTGTGCATTCAGACTGGCCTGAGCCTTGGTCACCCTCAGAGGATGACTGTTCTGAGCACTAAGCCAAGTGACACTTCAGGGCCCCAAGTACTCTACTGCCATTGTTTGCCTGACCTTTGAGAATCGTAGCCAGGATGGGAAAAATGGCAGACATTCAAAGTATACAGACAAGAACTCTTTCTTTCCCTTTTTTTTTTGGGGGGGGGGCGCAACAACAAAAGTCTCACCATACAGCCCTGGCTGTCCTAGAACTCACTGTGTAGATCAGGCTGGCCTTGAACTCACAGAGATCCTCCTGCCTCTGCCTCTCCTGGGTGCTGGGATTAAAGGTGTTCTCAGCCACGCCCGGCTCAGGTATCAGCCCAGGGGGTGAAGATGGCTAGGCAGGTAAGTGCTTGCTGCCAAGCCTGAGAACCCGAGTTGGACCCCCAGGACCCCCCAGGATCCACATGGTGGGAGGAGAGAACCAAACCCCCTCAATCGGCTCTCTGACCGACACATGCTCACATCCCCAACCACGCGCATTTAATAGATAAAGGGTCTAGGTCCAAACAACAAGGAGCCAGGGTGTGGTAAGTGTTAGGGACATGGGAACATGGCAGGCAGTGTGGAAGAGCAAGAACAAAGGCCCCGATTTCAGGAAAGTAGAGAAGAGGCTTCCAGGGCAGCCGGGGCCTCACCCCCCAGCTCACCTTCAGCACATGGGTTTCGAAGGAGGTTCCTTCGCAGGCTGCACAGGAAGTAGAAGATCTTCCAGTCAGCCACCGGCTGGTCCCAGTCCTCGGTGATGAAGCCCTCTCGCAGGCTCTTGCGCTTCCAGAGCGTCACCACGTCGATGAGGTCTCGCCAGAGGCTGCAGACCGGGCGGCAGTTCCACAGCAGCTGGCGGGCAGGGATGTGGGTGAACAGCTCCAGGAGAATGTTCTCTGGCAGCTCGTTGATGTTGACCATGGCGGCAATGGGGAGCTAAGCTCCCAGGCCTGGGAGTGGTAGGGGATGACGGTGGCGGTGAGCGTTAGCGGTTAGCCCTGAGCAGAAGATCCGCGAAAGACGACTCCTCCCCTCTCACCAGGGTCTAGAGCAGCGTGTTAGGCAGGTCTTCCCCAGACCTGAAACCCAGAGAGGAAGAAGCACTTATGGGATGGGGGTGGGGGGTGGTCCTTGAGATCCGCAGGGATCTTGCTACCTGCATTTGGAAAATACAGATCATGTGCCGGACTTAGCAGCTTGTGCTCCAAGCATCCAGGAGGCTGAGGCAGGAGGACTGCTTGGGCTACTCACAGTCTAGGTCAGGTCCGCTTGGGTTGGTTTTCAAAAACCACCACAAGAACAAAATGAAGCTTTTAAAAGTTCTTTGCATTGCTACGGATGAAACCGAAGGTCTCATGTATGCTAGGCAAGCATTCTGCCACTGACCTGGACCACCGGCTTTGAGCCCAGCAGTTCTAGGCCAGTTTGGGCAGCAGAACAAGACTTCACCTCAAAAAAGGAACAAAAAGTGCAAACAACCACAAAAAGACAAAGATTTTTAAAGGCGTTCCTTCTCTCCATTGAAAAATAATTGTTTAGGAGCTGGGTCTGGTGGTGAATCTGTTATTCCAGCTCTTGGGGGGTGGGGAAAAGAGGATCAAGATTTCTAAGTCAGCCCTGGTTACAGGAAACTGCCTGTAACTCCTCACCCTAAACTGCTTTGTATTGGAGACGGTTGGCCCTTGACCTGGAAAGAGTCTTCCGGTACCACTCCGTGGTCTCTGTCTAGTCTTGATATGACGTCACTCCAGTAAAACATCGTTTTAATGCCCAGGTGCCGGATATGTTGCCCTGGGGTCAGGGCAGATCAGAATGGGAGTGTCTGGCTGTCGGTAAGCTCTTAGGTTACCCGGGGGATCCGCCCCAGGTGTGGGGGTGGGCTGAATCGGGCTCTATGCTGTCACTCAAATGAGCACTCGTGCTTACGCCTGGGGGAAAGGCTTTCCCACCTACTTTCCCGGAAACAGAAACTCTGAAGCTTTCCTGGTTGCTGGTGGTCCTGTGAGGACTCGTCCCAGAACACGGGAGGGCGGATGCACACTGGCCCTTGCCCTGGAGGAGTTCTTAACCATGGCGGAAGAAAGGACCATAGGAGATCTGGGCCCTGTTTAAATGCTTAGTTAGGGAGGCAGGGTACAGACATTTAAGAAATGTCTTGTATCAAAATACAAACAAACAAACAAATAAATATCAATGGTGGCACACCCCCACAGTCCCAGATAACTGAGCCTGATCAACTTCTACCTGTCTCAAAATAAAAAGTAAAAGTAAATAGGGCTGGGACTGTGACTCATTGGGTGGATACTTGCCTAGCAGAAACCTGTGCTTCGGAGGGGGCTGACAGGTTGGTAGCACGCTTACTATCTAGCATTCGGAAGGCCCCAGGTTCCATCCTCAGAAACAACCAAGACAAATCCAAGTAAACTATGGATTAAAAGACTTCAGCAACTCCTAAAAGCTGCCTAGACCAGTGAGTCACTGGGCGCTCAGTGGGGGTCTCCCACTGTCGTGGCCCCGATGGCATTCCGCCCCAATGACACTTTCTCCCACAATAAACCACCTTGCAAAGGAGATGGCAGTGCCCCTGGTGTGCCTTGGTGGAAAAATCCACGCCGGGCTCTGGCCCGGTCACGCGCGGATGTCCCTCCCTAGCGCCTGAAGCTCTCTGCACCAAGGGGAAGCCGCTGTCGCCACCATTCCGGACACTCGAGTACGTACAGCAGGCCCGGCGTCCCGGCGCGGGACTCGAGAACACGGATCGCGCCTGGCCCGAGCCTCCCCGTGAGCGCGTGACCTCCACTCCCTCCCAGCCCCGTCCCCGTCCCCCACCCGGCCGCGACCTGGGCACCGGGCGGCCGCAGCTCTGCCGGGCCTCGGGCTTGGACCTTGGCGACGCGGTCCTCTGTCGCTCGCCCCGCCCCGTCCCGTCCTCCCACTCGCGTCATGCACCGACAAGCGGCCTTCCGCGTCGGTGAGAAGATGAGCTCAGGGTCCTAGGGGCCACCGCCACGCCGCTGCTTCCAGGGATCTATACCCGAGGTTTCTTGGGCTTCGGTCTCCCGCTCCAGGCTCCAGGCAGCTCACCAGTCTGCTTTCACTTGGTCCTGCTTCCTCCTTCTGCGAAGGAAGCGCTACCTGGAATCCAGCCCTACCACACGCCAGCCAGGACTTGATCTACGCCCGTCCTCATTCACCTGGAGGGCCGGAGTTCTACTTTCCCGGGACATTTTCCATTTCGTTTGTTTGTGTGTTGAACAGGGTCTTCCTACGTCTTCCTACTTGGCCCTGGCTGTCCAGAAACTCACTTTGTAGATCAGGCTAAACTCCCCCCCCCAACCCCCCCATTGCTGGGATTAAAGGCCTGCACCACCACCTGGCGTCCAGTTTCTTTCTGGGTCTTGAGTGATTCTCAAGGAGAAAACCCTTTTCTGGTCCTAGTCAAAATTAATTAACACAAACATTTATCAATTGCCGATTTGAAGCAATCATCGGGGGTTGTGAAGGGTGAGTACAGCCCAAGGAGAGGTCACTAATTCTGGTCAAGGGAGGAGGCTGGTGAACTCTGGCCCCTTCCAGCTCAGCCCCATCTATTTTATTGTTGAGTGAAATACTTAACTTTGACAAGTAGTGAACACCTCCTGTGTGCTGGGCTCAGTCTAAATCAGTAAGGCACTGGGCAGGGAGACAGCAGGAAGTGGAGCCTGGCACAGGCTTCTTGGGCTGCACAGAGATGCACCGTGATTGCTGGAGGGCTCTGCCCCTGGAGCTAAGGGCTGCCATGGCCCACACTCCTGCTTCTTTAGGGACAGGCAGGATTGTCCATGAACCCACCCTTCCCTCCAAAGCCACAGGGCACAAGGGGGCTGGGAAATGTTTTATTTGGCTGTGCAGTAGGAGGGTTGGCGTGGTACTGGAGTCAGGGGACAGTGTGGGAATGGATGCTCCAACAGTTGGGCTTGGACATCTCCAAGCCACAGAGAACTTGCCCAGGTCCCTCTACTTGGTTTCCCCATTCCAGCTCTCGGAATCAAGGTCCATCCTGCCCCTCCATCCTGAGTGGGATTCCATGGGTTCTCTGGGGAGCCCTGCACTCATTGGCACCCACCTGGCTTTCTGGGCTTTGCTGACGACAAGGACAGTCTGATCCTACCTGCCTATCTGGTACCAGGCCTGACTTCCAAGCCAAAGCAAGGAAGATGGCCAAGACAGAAGCCGCAGCTGACAACCAGGCTAAGGTCTGGCCAGCAGAACCGCCTTCTATCCCAGATCTGCCCCTCAACGTCTGCATCATCAAGGGCAGTCCCCAAACCTGTCAGGTGTCTCACTCATCCCTGCTCTAAGGGCCCTGAAGGAGAACAAAGGGCAGAGGTACAGACAGATCTGGGCAAGCATTTGAGCTTGGGGGTCTCTCCCTGATGACTTTTGTATCCACCTAACCTCAGGCACTGCACCCCTTGAAGGGGTGACCTTGCTGGAGGGCCAGCCTTTGGAGAGAAGAGTGTGGCCCAGACACACTAGAAGCTCTGCACAGAGGAGGCAGCTGGGGGGGCAAAGACAAACAGGTCTGGAAGTGCCTGGCTTCCACCCCCCTCCCCCACACTTCCCGAGCCTGGCCCTTTCTGACGGCTGTTTACCAATTAGGGCTCCGAGGACAGGGGTTCGGGGGGCATCAGGGCAGTGGGGGCCCGATGACGATGCTGCTGTTGGTGACTCTCGGGCCGTACCAGCCGGCCCAGTAGTGAGTGTCCACGCCTCCGTGCTGAAACCAGATGTAGCGGACGCCGGGAGGATAGTTGGAGAATGTGTGTGAAACCTGGGGGGCAGATAGAAAAAGGGAGCAGTCAGGGACTACTATGTAAGACCTGTCTCAAAAAAAAAAAAAAAAAAAAAAAAAAAAAAAAAAAAAAAGGGGCAGGGGAGAGAAAAACTGTCTTTTAAAAAAAAAAAAAAAGCCAGGGGGCAGGAGAGGCTGCTCTGTTTAAGAGCATTGGCTGCTTTTGCAGAGGACCAGGATACAATTCCCAGCACCTACATGGCAACTCACAACCATCTATCACTCCAGTTCCAGGAGATCTGTCGCCCTCTTCTGGCCTCCAAGGCACATAGGCAAAATACACATACCATAAAGATAAATCTTTTAAAAGGAACAACAAAAAAACAGAGCAGGGGTCTGGCGGTGGTGGTGCACGCCTTTAATCCCAGCACTCGGGAGGCAGAGCCAGGCAGATCTCTATGAGTTCGAGGCCAGCCTGGTCTACAGAGTGGAGTGAGTTCCAGGACAGGCTCCAAAGCTACACAGAGAAACCTTTATTGAAAAACAAAAACAAACAACAACAACAACAACAAAAACCAGAGCAGGGGATGTAGATTCATTGAAAACACTTGTATAGCATGCTTGAAGCCCGGGATTCCATTCCCAGCACCATGATGGCGCATGTCTTCAATTTCAGCACTCAAGAGGCGAAGGCAGGACAATCAGAAGTTCAAGGTCATCTCTGGCTATGTATTTATCGCCTTAGAGGCCCTCCTGGGATACTTGAGATCCTGTCAGAAAACAACCAAAGAGCTCAGTAAAGTACTCGCCCTGTAGAGTAAAATGCGCAAAGACCGGTGTTCAATCCTCAGCATAAACCAGGCAGTGGCAAACACCTGTAATCTTAGCACTTGGGGCATAAAGGCAGGAGAAGCCCGAGCTCACGGCTGTCTTCTGCTATGTAGTAAGTTGGAGACCAGCTTGGGCTACATGAGATCCTGTATCAGATAAATCAAAACACAAATAAAAACAAAACTAGATAAAGAACCACATTACTCAGAAAGGGCTGGATTTTACTCAAGGTTCAACTCTCCCTGGGGTAGCTGCTGAGGACTTGTGTACATAAAGTACTTCGCTCTTTGGTACTTTTTTTATTTTTTTTTGGTTTTTCCAGACAGGGTTTCTCTGTGTAGCTTTGCACCCTTCCTGGAACTCGCTTTGGAGACCAGGCTGGCCTTGAACTCACAGAGATCCACCTGCCTCTGCCTTCCAAGTGCTGGGATTAAAGGTATGCGACACCACCGCCAGTGATACAAACACTCTTAACCTCTGAGTCATCTCTCCAGCCCTCCTGTCTGGCTTAAACAACTTTAAAAATGACATTTATTTATGGGTTTTTTGTTTGTTTGTTTTGGTTTTTCGAGACAGGGTTTCTCTGTGTAGTTTTGGTGCCTGTCCTGGATCTCGCTCTGTAGACCAGGATGGCCTGAACTCACAGAGATCCGCCTGGCTCTGCCTGCCAGGTGCTGGGATTAAAGGGGTGCGCCACCACTGCCCAGCATGCATGTATGTATGTACATGCACATGTATGCTACAGTGCATGTGTGACAGTCTGAAGATGTTAGAGTTGGCACTCTCTTTTCACTATGTGGGTCCCAGGGACTGAACTGAAGTCCTCAGGCTTGACAGCAAGTCCCTTTTCCCCACGAAACATTTATCTTGAAGGTCTTTGCCTGGCTTGTTGGTACTGGTGTATTAATTTGTTTATTTAATGTGTATCCCTGGCTGGCCTAGAACTTGCTATGTAGACAGGGCTGACCTTGAATTCACAGAGATTTGCCTGCCTCTGCCTCTGCCTTGCCACAGCCCACCTTGCCCAGATGTTTTATTTATTTGTTTCTTGTTTATGCATTTATGTATTTATTTTTAACACCAGGTCTCTATGGTCTAGGCTTTGCACTACAAAACCCAAGCTGGCCAGGAATGGTGGCACACATCTTGAATCCTAGCACTCACGAGGAAGAGGCAGGAGGAATTCTGTGAGTTCTAGGTCAGCCTGGTCTACATATTGAGTTCCACAACAGCCAGGACTACCTGGACCTCCTGTCTGAAAACAACAACAGAAAATGCAAACTAGCGTGGAATGTACAGTGATGCCCCTGCCTCAGACCCTTAAGTACTAATATGACAGGCTTGAGCCACCACACTAAGATTTGTATCTGGCTTCAGTGGTAGAGTGTTTGCCTAGCATGTGTGAGGTCTTAGGCTCTGTATCCAATCCCACCAACTAAAGAAAAGAAAGACAGCACACGTGACCATGGAGTAGATAACGGCTGCTTCTCAACTGATGGTGGGCAGGTCCAGACAGACCCACCATATGCTAAAATTGAGGATATATTTGATAAACCCATTGCCCATTAGAAAAAAATATTCTAAGTAGAATGCTGGTGAGCCAGATGCTCCACTGAATCATCCTTTCTGGAATTTTTTTTGAGCGGGGGCTCTCCTAGTCTCCCATCCCCGATGTCTAAGCCGGAAGCTTACTCTTATTTTTCTACGGAAGCAAGTGAGGCTGAGGCTTAGAGCAGCAGAAACCCAGGTGAGAGACGGGGGAGTTCGGGTCTGAAGGTCCCTGTGGGGTCCCTGCCCACATACCTCCCTCCAATTGGCGTCGCTCTTCTGCTGAATCGTTACGGGGTCTGGCTGGAAGGTTCCCAGCGGTGCGTGGGCCGACGACAGGAGCTGAACGCACAGCTGGTACTTGGACCCGCAGTCTGGCCTGGCTGCGAACCTGCAGGTAGAAGAAGGAAGGGTTCATGAGGACCTGGGAGATGGGGGGCAGGGCAGGGGTGGGGCGCCTGGGCGGCAGGCCCCCCCCAGACCCTCGCCCCGTCACTCACCAGTCTTTGACCTCGATGTCCGGTCGGGTGGTGTCCATCAGCTCCTCCCAATACCCTTCAGCCTTGAGGTCCACCACCTGGGACTTGAGGCAGGTGCTGAGTCAGGGAGGGGGAGGGGCTGGGGTTCAGCACTGGACCCTGATGTTAGGACTTGGGCTCCCCCCACCCTCAGGCCCTAGATCTTACTAATAGGAAGTCACGAAGTATTTCTTGACCTGGTCATTGGGGAATTCCTTCCGCTGGTCTTTGGAGAGATCTTCCACCTTCCATTCATCACCTCCGTTCACATCCAGGCTCCAGAACTCAAATCCCTCTGTGGGGAGAGCAGAGTCCACCATGCAGGAGGCCCCTCAGGGCACCTCTCCATGTACCCCTTCCTCTCAGAGGTGGGATCCCCAAGCTGCCTTCCAGCCCTGTGCTTTGTCATCGTAGGTAGCACGTGAAGTGCTACCTGTGTGCCCTGGGTGTAGCTAAGGGGCTTCCACGGAGAATCCTGGATGATCAGACCCCGACCATGATGGAGAGTGCTCTGGCAGACAGACCCGAATCTTACTCAGCTCCAGCAGTAATGGGCTGTGTGACCATAGACATGTTTCTTTCCTTCTCTGAGCCTTGGTCCTCTCGTTAGCTAGAATCAAGCACAGAGGCTAATCTGTGGTGGAACATACCTGCCATCCCAGCAGGCCGAGACAGAGGAGTGCTGTGAGTTCCAGGCCAGTCTAAGCCACATACTGAGTACCA